CATGAAATTAATTTAATTGAGCCTAGCTAATCATTACTAAGTTCTTACCGCTCTCGCGGCGTAGAGTACAATAATTTAGGGGACCAGGCTAATCTCTCATGCGACAGGATCCTAAATTATTGCCAAGACGAGCGAGCTTACGGCCCCTTAATCGCTACTAATCTCTTAGCGAACGATTAAGTGTGTGTGAATGTGTCCTAGAATAAATTAGATATCTCTTAACTTATTCTACAAGCAATTGTAATTCTAGCGGCCGTTCTAGGTTACAAAAGATATCAGTTAAATTACTTAAACACAAATTAAACGGCATTCATGCAATTAATCCGTCAAGAATCTAGCCATACATCATGATTAACCCCTTCATCAACCCCAAATCCCTAATTAAAACTACTCGCAATTAATAATTGAATAATAAATGGAATTGGGATGAATAGAAATAATTGTCATTAATTAAAAAGATAGAACTTACAAAGAATCCCTTAATCTTGAAGAACAGGGCTTGAAAAGTTCTAAAAAAGTCGAAATAGGGTTTATCTCTCTAAGCTCATCAGTCAAAAACAGGCAAAACAGGGGCCTATTTATAGAAAAACTCAAAATGTGACCGAAAATCAGCCCACACGGTCGTCCGCACGCCGTGCGGGTCACCGCGCGGGTACGCGCGCGTTTTTTTATGTCTTCCGACTTTCGCTCCGCCCGCGCGGTGTGCGGGCGCCGCACTATGCAACCGCGCGGGTACTTCTGGGGGCTATTTCTGAACCGTGCGTGATAGAGTATATAGACTTGGACCCCCGGGTCTCACGACTATTGGGCCCGGACAGCGGCCCACGTACATCATTTTCCACTATTTATTCATGTATTTATTCATGTGTATCCATTAGAATAGATTACATACCATTTATTAGCCATTTATTGGCCTTTTATTGTAACTGGGCCTTCCAGGGAGCCATGTAAATACTCCCTATGGGAGCCATGTAAAAGGATGGTTGATTGGAAGGTTGGAAGTTGGAAATTCATTTATACATATCACTTTATCTCTCTAGCGTTCCCTTATCTCTAGATTAAATAATCTATCAGTGCGGTTTCGGCCGCGCGGTGTGCGGTTCAGACCCCTCAACTTTTTGCTCTCAGAATCGCCCGCGGGGCGCGCAGGATGCTCTTGGACCGTTTTCTTGCCATTTTCTTCACGGTTTGTTCCCGGATACTTCTTTAATCAATCCAAAGGCCGTTTCTTCATCAAATCTTCTCCCGGTGGCCTCCAAAACTCTCAAATCTCTCTCGAATGTTCTCCAACTCTTCCCGATTGCTTCTCAAGCGCCGGTGCCGGACTCTAAATTCCTGATTTTGAATCCAAACAACACAAAACTCGAACCAACGCCCGGTAAACATAACTTGAGCTAAAATTGAGACTTGTAACATCTTAAAGCTAGGAAAACCATCAAAAGCCGATCCCAACACGCATCAAATGCGTGTCTAAATACGGACTTATCATGGGGCTGCTCCACGACCAGGGAACTGCTGCTGCGCGCGAGACTGATGTTGCTGCCCTGGAAGGTTCTGGCCGTGTGCAGCAAAGGCCTAATGCTGCGCATATATTGCAGCCGACTTTCTTGAACACCAAGGACTGGTCCCAGTTGATCAAATGTGAATGTGGGGGGCATGTATGCCAATCCTCCAAGGATAGTTTCATACTCCAGACCGAGACCAAGTAGTTCGTACTCAATAAGATCTTTGTCACTCACCGGTGAGTTGATGAGTCCAAGAGAATTTGCAGCAACCTGAATTTCCCGAAGGTATTGTTCCATAGTTTGATTAGTTTTCTTCTTGATATGAGACAACTGACGCTTAATCTCCATGGAATGGGCCGTACTTGCGGACATGAATTTGTTCCAAAGACGATCCCAAATTTGAAAAGAAAATTTCAGTTCATGCACATCAATCAAAATATCTCGGGAAAGAGTGGCAAAGAGCCATGAACGGACTATCTGGTCAATTTTCAACCAGTGTTGATAATCAGTGTTGACAACTTCCCTGCGAGAAGAATCCAAAATGTACGGGGAAGGGACTGGAATCGAGCCATCCAACACACCCAACAAACTATGCGATACTAAGAAAGATTCAAATTGTGTTTTTCACGGTAAATAATCCTCAACCGATGCCAACCTAGTAGTAACAATATTGGTGACATTCGGGGTGGAGAATCGTAACAATAATCGGAATACGTGATTTAGGGTTAGAATCGTAAGGCCTTAGCAACTGATACCATATGAGAATTATGAGGGAATGACTTACCCTAGAGGTAGCCGTATGCATGTATATATATTAATCCAGGAAAAAGGAATTACAAGAATATCCATACAATATTATCTATTACCCACAAATCACAATGGATAAGTTCAAAAATACGAGTACATTTGCTAACACTAAGAGGGAAAGTATCTCTAGCGTGTTTAGCTCAAAAGCAAATCTCACAAGGCGTAGAAATAATAGAGACATTATGAATTATCGGGAAATAATTTGATTGTTACAAGCAAATCTCACACAATCAATTCCTTTCTGAACACCAAAGATTTAAGTACGAGAGACATTATGAAAATAATAGAGTCCATTCCTCCGCTCACCCGCTCCAATTAGCCTCCTCGAGTGCCGCTCATGAATAGCATAAATATTAGAAGTGAATTGAATAAAACAATCAAGGCCTTCTGTAAGTTGGGACACCGAAATAAGATTGCAGTTTAATTTTGGAACAAACAAGACATGAGATAAACATATTGAGTCAGATAAGTGGACAGATCCCTCTTTAGCGGCCGTTACTCTTTGACCATCGGGTTGTCCAACGGAACACGAACTAATGTCTTTAATCACTTAAGCAAGAAAGATTTTGGGTCACATGATTGGATGCCCCCGTATCAATTATCCATGAAAAAAATATCAAACTTATCGGATACTCTAATATTAATAAAATTTGGTTTACCAAAAGATGCCAAAAGGGCCTGCCATTGTTCAAAGGTCAAGCCTCGAAGACCTTTCCCTTCCATTTGTTCCATATGCCCTGTAGCTAATCCTCCGCTATCCACGGGATTTGTTCACAGAGTAGAAGACTCTACCACAGTAGCATGAGCTCAAACACTCTCATGACCACGCCCTGTATTTCCACTTATGTGCTCGATTTCTCCACGTCCGCGCAGCAGTCCAGTTTTGTGTGATCCGTTCATTCCCTTCGACATCTGCCCCATGCTGTGCCCCTCCGTTCGCACTGAGAAGCTCGATGTTATGAAATTTCCCGGCCAGTCTTGCGGTCCCAAGAAGAACTATGATGTGTGGTCGTTTTTCCCCGAAGAATTGTCTTCGCCGTCTCCTGGTGTCATCATTGTTGACAGAGCAAAATTCGTAAAACGTGCTGCCGCGCCACGTTTAGGATATACCGATGTTTACGTTCCACCCTCCCGTTCTGTTGTGGTGTAAGAATGCACGAGGTTTGGAACAAAATCCCATGAGTATCAAAATAAGGCAACATGCTTTCTCGAAGTTATACGTTCCAGATTTGAAAGTACATATTTTACTTTTATAAGTCACATGTTATGTTCTAAATTTCATATACTTCCTTTTATTGGATTTTAATGTCTCTCTGTAATTGTTTAAGGACTATTTAATGTCCGCACCTGTCTATATGTAAGTTATGTTACATTTTTTTCCTAAAAAGTTATTGTTGTTTGATGCTTTCATATATAAACAAATTTCATTTATATGTTCTCCATCACTTTTGTCATATTTAAGTTTGAATTCTCATTCTGACCTTAAAATTGCAGTTCAAAGCGTTTCTCTTATCTATTTTTACTTTCCATGTCATTTTTTGTTTTTTCTACTTCATATAGTTATTTGATCATCTTTTCGGTGAACCAGATACAACCGGTTGTAGTCCAAGAACTTGCTGAAATCGAGGGTTCAACTGATGCATATAAAGTGTACGAAAAAAGTCGTTAACCACAAACCAGTGCACCCCCCAAAAACACTGGACCGGTCTATTTCAGAACTACAGGGATACTACTCAAAGGATGCAACTAGTGTATTTCACACCCTCTGGAGATGACATTTTACCCTCGGATGAAGAAGATATAACGTCGTCGGTTCAAACTTAGAGGTACTGCATTGTGGGATGTTTTACTAGAAACTTCCAAGGTTTTAAAATTATATTGTTTACACTTTGGTGTCGTCATGGGGAGTCCCTTGTACTTGCAAGAATCCTATCCCAGACTGTAGTTTCTAGTTTTATAATATTCTATGATTTCAAATTTGTATATCCTAGAATAACATTTAAAAGGTTTATACCTTTTTCTCTCGCTATTTTTAATTGCCACAGTTTGTTGGCATTGAAACTTATGTTAATTGTCATGGTTTTTGGCATTTCAATTGATGTACTCTGGGTTGTCATACTTAAGTAGTAGACATATTCAAAATTAATGTCTTCTTACAGTGTGTTTAATGTCTATCTCGCTTGTTTATATACACTGTCTATATCAAATCACACTTAGCATCCCACTTGTTCCTACTAGTACTACTCTAACTATGTTTCGTCACGTGTCATTAAAATTTTCGACTTAATATGGATCTGTAACAATTGGTATCTCACATGTTTCAACTATACACCTTTATTACTAGTTTAATGTGGATTTGTAACCTATACAAACATTTCTACATCACAAATGTTTACTATTAGTTTATTTTTGTTATTGTCATTCTGCTTTATGGATATTTAATGAAAAAGATATAAGGAATAACTTTTACTGTCATGCAATTTATTCGTGTTTATATGTGTTATATCATCGTATTTTATGTCATAGATTTACATTCAATTTGTAAGGATCAAGTAAGACTATATATGTTTATTGTCTACTTCCTGTCTAGTTATCAACTTGTAATGTATAATTAATGTCTGATTTCAATATATTAGTTCTCAACGAATATCTCTTTTGACCAAGATATTCAAAGTATGAAAAACTCTCTTATATGAAGCACATGAAGTTTATTGATATATAAGCTGCAGCAGCAACTAATTTATAAATTAGCTGCCATGCATTAAAAGAAAATAGTTTAGTTTTCCACATCCCTTAGCTTGTTGTGTATATAGATACAAGTATGGTCTAGGAGAAAATAAAAATACATTCCAGCAACTTTGTTGATCGAGATTCCATCCAAAAAGGAGTGAGATCGAAAAAGAGGCTTTTGCAATTAATTATTGTTCCAAATTAAATGGGTTATGCGTAAGGATTGTTGATTTTGGTGATGACGATGGGAGCGGCATGAAAGGGGTGCAGCGTGGGAGTGAACTGGTGGACCATGTCCTCGCACCGCCGCTCTGCAGTGTGGTGAAGGCCCTGGGCTTCGAGAAGGTGACCGAAGATGTTTGAGGCGAATGTGCATATCTCGAATGCACTCACTGGCTCTCACATTGAAGTCATGCTCGCACTCCCAATTTCATGTTGCAGAAGATAAGCAGGTGGATTGGCCGATGTCCTTTAGCTTTTAATTGAGTGTATTATTGTCACTTCAAATAAATTAAGTCGTACGAGTTGCTGCCTGGTGGATCTTCAAATGTGAATTCACCTGAAAGAAGAGAAAAGAGAACAATAAGAAGAAGAGAAGTGTGGCTGAAGTTTTCTGTCTCCCCCATTCTCCATTAACACGATGCATCAAAATAAAATACAAATGCGAAGTCCACTAAGTTAACTGCTACTTTAGTGGAGCCACTAAGTCCACTAAGAATAACTATAGAATAATGCTGCTAACAAATATGCATAACTATATTATGTAGCTACATGTAGGAAGTAACAATACTAAATAACAATATTAAGATTAATAATGTCAGCAATCACTCCTAACCCAAATGGGCTTCCATGCACGCAGCTAATGTCTGCACTCAAAGGTTCATCAATACCTTCCCCTCCAAGGGGGACCTTGTCCTCAAGGTCAATGCTTGGGAACTGTTACGGGAACGAGTCCCTATCCTTCCACTGTATCAGGACCGGCTTCAATTCACGGCTATCTGCAGCTTCTTCAGAATAATCTACCAGAATTTCCCCCATCTCGAGTAGCATGAGTTGTTGGTGTTTGCAACGGTGGCCCGGAGCAAACTGTTCGTTGCAAGAGAAGCAAAGGCCCAACGAGCGTCGGCGTTGCATCTCCTCCCAGGGAAGGCGTTTGATTGGTGGTGACGGTTTATGTTGATCAAGGCGAGAAACCGGTGGAGGTCCAAGAATGCCACTTGTGTCTGACTGTTTGGAAGCTACCGGTTGTACAAAAAGTGGGGTGCGGATGGCCAACCGGGATTTTTCTTCCACTAATTGGGCCAGCCCAAAAGCTTCTTCGAGAGTTCGAGTGTAACACCCCGGCCCCGCAGGACCCGAGGTAGTTACTCCAGACCTCTAGTACTGTCCTCACAAACCACCACGAGCCTTTACCGCGCACTTTGTCCTCACTCATGCGCGCCCTGAGAAACTTCCCAGGGGGTCACCCATCCTAAGACTACTCCCGTGCAAGCACGCTTAACTTTGGAGTTCTTGGGTAATGAGCTCCCTTAAAAGGAGATGCACCTCTGTTGGTATGAGTAGTACTATTAATCCGTTTATATTAAATCTCAAGTGTTACATCGAGGCTTTAGGGTCTTAACGTCAAGCCGAATCTCGTCGCGCAGGCCTCCCAAAAAACATCCAATGAGAAAAGACTCGGGCTGATCGTCTATTTGGTGTGACAGTTGTTCAAACGTTTCTCGGTAAACTGCGACAGTCGTAGACTGTTTTAGACGAGATAAAGCTTCAGAAGGGTCTGCAAACTCGGTAGGGCCAAAACGGAGACGTATATCCCTAACGAACTCGACCCACGTGACTGGTCCCCTTCATTTTAGCAACCATCGGTACCATTGAAGAGCTAGGCCTTCCAGATGCATGGACACGAGCCTTACCTTCCGGTCTGGAGCGATATCGTAGTAATCAAAGTACTCCTCGGCTTGGTATATCCACCCGGCTGGATCCCCTTCACTGAACTTCGGGAATCGCGCCTTCGGATCATGAGGGCGAAGTCCGTTCCGGTTATGCTCAGCAGCAAACGGATTGTCCACCTCATGGTCTCGTTGTTCCCTAGCCATCCGACTGGCTTGTAGCTCGACGGTGATAGCCTGTAGAGTTGCAGCAATTTGAGCAAATTGGTTGTCGTGACGTGCGATAGCTTCGTTCATCTCCTGCCGGAACTCCGCATTAGATTTGCCCCGGGTATCCATGCTCTGATACCAATTGGTGGATCTTCAAATGTGAATTCACCAGAAAGAAGAGAAAAGAGAACAGTAATAAGAAGAGAAGTGTGGCTGAAGTTTTCTGTCTCCCCCCTTCTCCATTAACCCGATGCATATAAATAAAATACAAATGTCAAGTCCACTAAGTTAACTGCTACTTTAGTGGAGCCTAAGTCCACTAAGAATAACTATAGAATAATGCGGCTAACAAATATGCATAACTATATTACGTAGCTACATGTAAAAAAGTAACAATACTAAATAACAATATTAAGATTAATAATGTCAGCAATCACTCCTAACCCAAATGGGCTTCCATCCACGCAACTAATGTCTCCACTCAACGGTTCATCACTGCTAGTCTTATTTTTGGGAATCTGTCATGGTTTGATACTATTTCTAAAATTTTCCCTTAAAACTGCTGAGGTTAAAAAGGCACTGAATCCAAGAGCCGCATATTTTCTTATTCGTAACTTTGACGCAGGAACAATTATGTATTAGTTTCCCTTTTTATATTAGTATAGATGAATTTGATTTCAATTAGATTATTTTTCCAGATCGACTTTTTTTTGTGGTCTGATTTTGTGTTTAAAAAGTGAACTTAGTTTGAATAGAGAATCTTAGTCGTTACTTACCGCCTACGCCGTTTATTTAATGTAACTTTTTCGTACTAAATTGTACCTATATTAATTAACTATCATGATTAAACATCGTATACCTTCAATGTCAAATTATCGAAAAGCAAAAAAACAAAGCGAGAGAAAATTAAAAAATAAAAGGATGAACTGAAGGACCACAAGTACTACAACCACGTCTGAAACACCAAAACTGAAAACAATCACTATTTTCGTTGACTACTATCACAAAATTTTCATAATTATTTTAAGGAAAATTCTACATGCACTTAACAACCGGTACACTGTACACACCTTTTTTACCCATTCACATTGTAGTATTTTGCTAGTAACGTCTACTAGTTTGCATTTTAGTAAAGGAATTTCAATTAAAATGCAAAGATGGAAGATTATAATGTTTACAGTTTAGTTAAAGAGGATATGACGTGGATATATGAAATAATATGATTGATTAAGAAAAGATCGATGCGTACCAAAACACACGAAGTTAAGAAATGCACCATAGAAGTCATACCCTATTTTTAATTAAATCAGGAAAACTTACTGATAATTTATAGGAGGCTCTGTCCGGCTATCACGATTTGGAGCGGTTCCCGGTGGAATATTTTTATGAAAATTTTTGAGCATCTTATTCATCAAGTCTAGTTTACTCATACCAAATTTCAGTTAAAACTTCAATCAGGAAGGCATTCAAATTAATTCTTGAAGATAACTGCGCATTTAACTGCACAGTTATTTTCAAGAATTAATTTGAATGCATTCCCGATTGAAGTTTTAGCTAAAATTTGGTATGAGTAAACTAGACTTGATGAATAAGATGCTAAAAAAAAATTATCAAAAAATTTCACCGGGAACCGCCCCAAATCGCGACGGCCGGACAAAGCCTCCTATATAAAGACTTATTTGACATGAAGTTTAAGGACCTATTTAACAGTTTTCCCTTTAATATATAGTTCAAGGTAGAATTGTCAATGTATACTGTTCGGGTTGTAATTATTATTATGTAGGAGAAATATTCTCGCCACCTGGCCGACGTCTTCAAACGAACCGCTTCTTCTTTCTTCCTCTCCGAAAACTTCCAACGGCAAGTCTAAACGTGCTTGTCGCCTCTTCTGCTCACTTCCGGAAACTAGTTTCTGCACATGAAAATAACAAGAAAGACAATGGCTCGAGACGCGTTAGACGCTGTCCTTAAGAAAGTATTTCCGGTGGCCGGAAATCTTTCCCCAGGATTTAACGAGCCCTTCGGCGAATCGCCGGACACAGAACTACGAGGATAGAATATATCATTTTGTAATCCAGCAGAGTTTAAAGATAATGATATATGGGGGTGTTTGTATACTTCGTACAACTCCATAGAAGAAGAATAAAATATATGTCAAGGAGTATATTAATTAACACGAGTATACGAAGTATTCCGTATATGAAAGAAGAAAGCTCAAGAGCCTTTTAGAAGATAAAGTTTGCAGGGAGAATAGCCTCAAGCAGGGGGGTTCGTATGGGATACTGCTTCCTTCTGCCATGTTTTCTAATTAATATATAAGAGAAATTAAATAAGAGAGGTGGTTAAGATCCTTGAAAAGTGGAGAGAAAAATGCTTAACCAAGCAAACTTAGTCAGCCACATTTGCACGTTAGAGGACCCAACGCTTGCGGTTAAATAAAATCATATTATAATATAATAGTTTATTTGAAATATATTTAATTTTCCAACAATCCCCCACATATTTCAAATAAACATTTGAGGTTAAAACACAATTTGAAAAATCTGCTGGATTAGCAGGAATGAGACTTTAAGTCTGGTGCCCGAAGACTATGAACCAAACCGAGACGATTAAGTCTTTATAAACCGAGCTTTTGGTGAAACGTATAGTTTCTATGAACCAAGAAGCTACTATGGTAAATCAGGGTCTTAATGGTCATGTCTCACCCCCCACAATTCCTCGCGTTAACGCCGTGGTGCGCTTTTCGGCCGTGCGCGTGCCTGGTGTTCGTGAGTGCTCTAGAAGCGTTGTCATGCTTCATGGAGGCGGCCCCACCTCACACTCATATAGGTGATCTCATCAAGTGTGTTCTGCACTTAACACACCAGCCATAAGGCTATGAAAATCATTAAGAGTTTTAGCTCAGCCTCACAGCGAATGCAGTCTAGCCTCACCCTAGAAATGGACATAATAGGCTAGCAAGAACAAATAGAAGACTTGTTATTACCCATATGAACCTGCTTCATGGGATCTCCAATCACACAGGTTGGGTTACCATCCCTATTTGTTAACAAGTGACGGTCCATTTCCCTCGATGTATAAAAACGACAATATCCGGATTTTCGCGCGCCAAAGGAGAAAACTAACTCCTCTTATCAAAGTTAATAATAACTTTATAGTTAATTCATATGGTATTATTGTATACGTCTATACAACAATATCACTTAAAATGATATCATCATTGTATGTCTTTAATACAATGGCTTAGCTCACCAAATACACTTTTTGTGTATCCATGATTTTGCTCAATCTTCCGACATTAAGTCAGGTTTCACACAGTTTGTTATTTTTAACAAATTCACAATTTTAATATTCATAATGAACATTAAAATTTATTTCTCCAATTTGTAACTCAAGATCGCATGTGTGACATTCAACTCAGATGGCATCGTTGTATCCCGATGATACAACGGATAACTCTCAATAAACTATATAACGTCATTGTATCATTATAATACAATGGATAACTCTCGTATAACATCATTGTATAGTATCGCTTTAGTACAATGACCATTTCTTAATAAAACATGTCATCGTTGAATCAATTTATTACAACGGATAATCTCAATCAAATGTATGCCACAATTAATGGTATCTGACATAAATTTTATGTCAGGTTTAACATAGTTTGTGGATTTTTAATTACAAATTCACACTTTAAGAATCAAAATAAATTTCTATAAAATCAACAACATAAGACAAAAATTATTGCTATTTATTTAGCCCCATATAGTTACTTAAGTAACATACAGCTATCAAGGAGTAATAGCATGCATAATATAATTAGATTCAAAGTTTTCGAAATTCATTATAGACAAACATACGATCTGAGAATATAAGCATATACATACAACTCCACTTTGAACAATGGTCAAGAAATTATTCAAGCATATACAATATATTACGTAAAATTGCATCATTGCAAATCAGCCCCCACATTTTCAATTTTAAAACAGGTGCAAAGACATTATATTACTAAACCATCGGCAGGTAACAAATCATTATCAACATACACTTCATGATTTTCCAAAAGGAATAGCATACAGCTAATAACATAGCATGTGAAGAAGTCTTCATATATGCGGAGTACAATATAATCCAGACTAAGTGCATGCACAAGAATTCTCAACAATATATGCTCATGACTTGATTTACATTACATACTAAAATGCATGCGAGCAAAATTCATACTTTAGGAGTTAAAAGTATGACCAAAAGTCTCCTCTACGAAAACTAATCAAGCAAATACTAACGTAGTGAAACTCACAGTCAGCATGTATACAAAACTAGCTTTAATGCAATTTTAAATTTTAATAATCACAGGAAGCTAAACCCATTCACAGATATACCGAACAATATTATTGAACTAGTAATCCAAAGTAAATAAAACATTCCAACGAATGTCATATACTCATCATATATCATACTCGTACGAATAAATCATATAAACAAGTGGAAGCATTAATTATCATGCAATAATTTAAAAATAGTAAGCACATTATTATTCTTACAATAACTTTTACTCACAAAAACATCATTTTTGGTCATAACAAATTTGTCACGATCAAAAGATACTTTAATCCCAGCTTTTAGCAAGAGAAAAATGGAAACTAATTTAGTCCGAATCTCAAGCACATAAAGCATGTCATTTAGTGATAAAGTTTTTCCCGATATGAGTTTAGGAAGAACTTTCCCTTTATCATACACCTTAGTTGTTTTTGAGTCCGCTAGGTACACTAGCTCTACATCATCTCTAGTAGTAGTACTATAGGAGGTAAAAGCACTTTTGTGTTGACAAATGTTCTTTGTAGCCCCAGAGTCTACCATCCATTCATTGACATCATTTATTTTACAACTTTGATAAACAACCGCAATAAAAATATCATCACTTTTAATCAATTTTAATTTTGATTTAAGTGGGTTGTTGTTTTCCACAGTTGTCTTTTTATCACATAAAATGACATTTATTAAAATAAGTGGGATTAAAATAAGTCTTATTGTAAAAAGGGTGACACATAAAATAATCACAAATTGAGATAAAATAATGCAGCTGGCAGATTCACGAAGGTATAAAATTGGCAAGACTAAATTAATTACGGAGTAATAGAAATACCAAGTTTGGTAGCCTCTTTGTGAACAAAGATTTCAGCGGCTCATTTAATCGGAATCACAGCAGGGCAGTTGACATAGATCGCAGCAGTGATCCTTGTCCGATACTTTCAGAGAGACACCAACGGGAGTTTTCCGGAGGGTGATGACCAGGACAGGTTTTTCCGACAAATACTTTCTTAAGATTGTAGGAGAAATATTCTCGCCACCTGGCCGACGTCTTCAAACGAACCGCTTCTTCTTTCTTCCTCTCCGAAAACTTCCAACGGCAAGTCTAAACGTGCTTGTCGCCTCTTCTGCTCACTTCCGGAAACTAGTTTCTGCACATGAAAATAACAAGAAAGACAATGGCTCGAGACGCGTTAGACGCTGTCCTTAAGAAAGTATTTCCGGTGGCCGGAAATCTTTCCCCAGGATTTAACGAGCCCTTCGGCGAATCGCCGGACACAGGACTACGAGGATAGAATATATCATTTTGTAATCCAGCAGAGTTTAAAGATAATGATATATGGGGGTGTTTGTATACTTCGTACAACTCCATAGAAGAAGAATAAAATATATGTCAAGGAGTATATTAATTAACACGAGTATACGAAGTATTCCGTATATGAAAGAAGAAAGCTCAAGAGCCTTTTAGAAGATAAAGTTTGCAGGGAGAATAGCCTCAAGCAGGGGGGTTCGTATGGGATACTGCTTCCTTCTGCCATGTTTTCTAATTAATATATAAGAGAAATTAAATAAGAGAGGTGGTTAAGATCCTTGAAAAGTGGAGAGAAAAATGCTTAACCAAGCAAACTTAGTCAGCCACATTTGCACGTTAGAGGACCCAACGCTTGCGGTTAAATAAAATCATATTATAATATAATAGTTTATTTGAAATATATTTAATTTTCCATTTCCAACATATTAGACCCTTAAATATGGGTTTGTGTTTTTTTAGTCAAGTCGATCAAATAATTAAAGCACTTAATCCCCTCTCTTTTACTTCTCACTTGAGTGTAATTTACATCTTTTCTTAAGTACTCTTCTTATCTTTTTTTTTTATACCGTTTTGACTTCTTTATCTTTTCATATAAATAAAATCCATACCTATTTGAATAAATTTTATCCTCTATCTAGCTTTATTTTGATATGTGAGTCTAATTTACCTCTTTTCCTTAGTCTTCTAGATTTAGTCTATAGTCTATAGACTTAGTATTAGTTATTCTCACAATCACACCTTATCTTTCTTGTCAGATTCAGTTTATCATTTCCCCGAGAATTCGTTAATGGCGTGGATTTAAATGAAGATTTCTTTGGAGCGAACGGTCGTCAATCACATAAATGGATAGAGAGTACTTAATTAAAAGGGTAATTAATCTTGATGTGAAGATCGATACCCTAAAAACTTAGGGCATAAATGGATAGAGAGTACTTAATTAAAAGGGTAATTAATCTTGATGTGAAGATCGATACCCTAAAAACTTAGGGCATGTTTACTAACGGAAATATTTTCCAGTTTTCCAGAAAATTGGAAAACTGGAAAACAGAAAACAGGAAACATGTTTACAAAAGAAATTGCTGGAAAACTAGAGAAAGGAAAAAAGAAAAACACGTTTACCAAATCGTTTTCCAAAACAGAAAAATGAGACATGTCTCTCTTTTCCTTAATGATTTGGAAAAGCGACTTTTACTAGTTTTCCAAATTTGGAAAACGCAGATGCTACACTGCCGTTGCAATGAATTTGCGTACTTACACCTAGTGGTGGGTCCAGTCCCGCTCCGATGTCGATTCCATTCCGGTACCTCCATCCTCGTACCTTACCCCTTACCCATACCCTACCCTACCCTACCTTACCCTACCCTACCCACCCAACCCCACCCTGCGTACCCATTTTTCCCTATAATGACCCTACCCCACCCCCTACCACATGCCCCTACCTCGGCCCCACCCCGATCCACCCTACCCTACCGCCACCCCCCTACCACCTCGACCCCACCCCGACCCACCCTACCCTACCCCCCCGTATATTACCCTTTACCCCTTACCACATGCCCCCTACCTCGGCCCCACGGCCATCCTACCCCCACCACCATCCTACCCCGCACCCTACCTGTAACGCCCCTCTCAGGGTTAAAGGAATCGTTACACTAACTTACTACTTTTGAAAATAACTACAATTAACGGCCGTCTATTTAAGAAAATAACCCTGATAAAATCTCAAATATAATTAAAATATAACTCTTGATAAGAACTCAATAAAATATAGTTATCACCAGCAAATTAAATGTGATAACCACCTGGATCCAGGAATTTACTCAAACTTGAAACCTTAAATAAAGTAAAGTATTAATAATAAACTCTTTATTATAATAGCTGAAATACTGAAACATAATAATAGCTAGCTAGAAGCCGCCAAGGTCGTTCCCGTTAACTCATCTTGGCACGCGTTCCACTCTCTCATCATCTTCCTAGGCCTTGGCCTTACCCTTAGTATCTGTACATGCGAAGAAAGAAAAACTGATAAGCTTTACGCTTAGTAAGTCACTATGGCTCCACAAAAATATCTAGAAGTCTAGGCCAATTTATCAATAGATAAATTTAGGCTATAAACATGCACTGAACAAATAACTAACACATAACTTCTCAAACATATTATGAGGGAGATCTCAAAATGAAAATATTTTCTAAAATAATTTCTCAAAAATTACTGGAGAGATCTCAAAATTTCTTTCTCAAACATATCTGTAAAACTTTCTGAAAGAGATCTCAAAACAACTTTCTGTAAAACTTTCTGAAAGAGATCTCATAAACTTTCTATAAACTCTTTGTGGCTAATTTTAACTGTGGGCCCGTGATATGTACTCAATGGCGCCAATCCGACAGCTCAGGGGAGCGACCCACTAAACATATCGGACTATCTAAAACTAAAACTGCTAATCTGAGGGATCTAGTTCCCGAGTACATATCACTTAATCTTTCACTTTAAGTATTAGTTCTTTTTATGGTGACATTTGACTAAAAAACATCATTAAATCTGGAAACTTAAGTACTAACAAATCTTTGACTATGCCAGATAATAAACATAACTTAATCTAGCAATAAAATAACTCATCACATAATTCACATAGTTCACATAATAGCAAATAGTCTAAAATTATCTATTAAAAATCAACCAGACTTCCTTCTTGCATTTGGTTGAACAAACATGTACAGGTGGTAGTGAACTTACCTGTTAGCAGCTGAACTCAAAATATTCAGATAAGTGTGGCACCTTGATAACGTCTCCCGGTAAGCTCCCTCTTAAATCTTTAATCACACGTAATAACTTAATTAGAACTTTCTATCCTTTAATCACACGTAAAATTCCAACAGTGTCCCATATTGTCCTACTGGAAGTTTCTTTAAAAATGAATTTTTCTCAAGGATCGGTAAGCATGAAGTTTCAAAAGAATATTATTCTGAACTTTTGTTGATAAAGTCTACTTCGACTTGAACCAGCTCTAATGTTTTCTTTTTAAAGAGTAAATTAATTTTCTAAATTAGGAAAATAATAAACAGAATGAAATAGACTTCTGCTCCATTAGTCATTTAGTCTGCCATCAGAATTCTTCAAATACGTTTGTCTAAGTACGAACTTTAATTAGAAGTTAAAATCCTTTTTCACCCATATGAATAATAGCTCTGGGAAACTTAAACTCATACTTAAATTCAAAACCAGACCTTATCGAAAATATGACCCTTACACACGGTAGAAAATTAAGTAACGAAGTTATCCAGATTTGTTTTTAAAACAGAGCATCAAGCAGTTTACGAAAAAGTGCAGCCTAATACTTCTCCCTTGTATAAACCGATGGTTTGGATAAAATGTAAAACGGTTGTGTTCAATTTGACAACTCCACAACTAGAAGTTTTATGCAAGGAAAACTTGCTTGGGTTAAATTTCAAATCCCATCCCTATTAGACATCCCTGGCAACTAGTACGTAATAAAGCTCTCACAATTCAAAATCTTTTTAGGAAGAATCAAAATGAGAGGCGTGAACAATATAGACTTACCAGTTTTAAGATGAAAACAGATGGTAGTGCTAGACGCTTCGTCCGACTGCTGGCCAGGGGAAGAAAAACGGACTGCTAGCCAGGGGAAGAAAAACGGACTGCTGGCTGGAGGGTTTTTATGATGATATATACAGAGTATCTCCCTAGGAATTCTAGGTAAAATACTGATTTGGGCCAAATAACTGATTTGGGTGTCTTAGTCTTCTAAAAATACGCTCTTAACCCAAACTGAATATTAAATCCTCACTTCAAAATATACTAACAAAATACACTTATATACTATTAATTATTTCTTCAGTTAACATTGTTGGAGCTTACTGGTCAACGTTATCTGCCACATACAAACATGGTAAAAGAATATCACATTATTCATATAAGTAATCTATTTAACTGACTAAAACAAATGAAAATGATTAATATAACAAGCTCATAAAAACGGGGTGTTACAACCCCTCCCACCTTATAAAAGTTTCGTCCTCGAAACTTAGAAGAACTTGTATAATCTCAAATTATTTCCATCTAAACTTCTCACTTGGCTATAGTCAAACCATAATAGCTTTATACCTTTAACAAGGTTATTTCTTATATCCAGAGCATGTAACTTTAAATTCAAAATGTATACTGACTTTTCTTCTAATTACTAGACTGGTCGCAGTGGTAGTTTTGGGGAGAGATACAACTACTTCATATATGACCAAAACAAAGACCAAGAAAACTCTCAGTATTTAAATTCATTTCTTACGATTTCTCATAGCACTACAACACAAAATCATAACTTCACAAGTCACAACATAGTCTATAACCGAATTAGTTTGCCTTGTTTGCTTAGTGATGTGAAATAGAAAGGCAAAAGTAACTTTTAAATTTGTCATAAAAATTTACCCCAAATACTCCTAAAAGTGAAATTCAGAATCATATTCTACTGGTATACTTACCTAGGTCAATAGAACTCTTTCTAAATTCATCCTCGGTTGCTGAAGTTCTGGCATTACTAAAAAAAAATGTTTCGTTCTCTGCCAGTTTTAAGAGTGTCACCCTCACAAATTGCTTTATTCATGATATACCCCTTTTATGTATTATGTTAGCTATCTCCCAACTGTTCATGATAGCAGTGTTATGAGACTCATATATAAGTCTAAAAACTTTTAAGGATGACTTTACTAGTAATGATACTAACATAGTATTGTATATTTACTGTTGGATCCTTATGACTTCTTCTTCTTTTATGTGTGATAAAGTACTCAAGTCTAGTGCATGTTTTATACTCTCAAGAAAAAAAATCATTCGCTTGGTATGTTACACTTCTACTGTCTATTGTCAAGGTGGTACTCTACACGACAATCTTTCCAAAAGCATAAGGGGAAACTTCATTTGTTTTAATAATTTACTGTAATTTGACTTGCCTATTATATCCAAAGGAATCTTTTCAAAGTCTAAAGTAGATTAAACTACTAAACTCTCTTTTTCTTCTTCTTCTTCTTTTTTTTTTTTTTCACCACACAAGCATCTCACCATTATCTTTTCATCAAAAGAAAAACAAACTTTCTTATGTTTCTATACCCCTGGAACCCAAACTTATAACTTCACTGATATGTATCCCTGAGTAGTCAGGATAGTTGAATCAAATTGTAAATCAGATTTTGCATTTTATCTTAGAATTTCAGTTTTGAAACAAACTATTTCTAATTTCTAATGAGGTGAGCATCTATCTTATCCAATCTTTAAACATATAATTTACTAATTGAAACTAATAGCCTCAATATCTAGAAGAAAATCTTCTTGGGCTCCCTCTAAAAATCAATATGCGGGTTAACATTAATCTGTCAACATTAAAAGGAACTGTTTGCTTAGTTTTTAA